ATTGAGCATGTACAGTTTTCAGAACACTTCCAAATGCCAAGGAAATAATGTAACTAAGACACACAAGAACCTTGTTCTCATGGAACATTCTATTCAGGCGGGGGTGGAAGGATGAGTTAATAAATTAAAAGGCTACCATCAAGCAGTGATGAGCAGTGTTGAAAGAGTTAAACTGGATAGTGCTGCATGCCTAAACTCTGCAAGACACCTAGGAGGATCCTGCATCCTGTCATCTCATTTTAGAGATGGAACTGGAAAGAACATGTGTTCCTAAGTCCTGCCCAGTCCTACAGCCACTCAGACCCAAGTAAATACATAGAGGCTTATATTACTTATAAACTGGATAGCCTAATGGCTCAGGCTTCTCACTAGCTAGCTCTTACAACTTTAATTAACCCATTTCTATTAATCTATGTTTTGCCACATGTTTTGTGGCTTACCAGTTGGCTGGCATGCTGTTCCTCTGGTGGCGGCTGGTGCCTCTCTGCCTCTTCTTTCTCTTCCTGTCTATCGGCTTGGATTTCTGCCTGCCTCTAAGCTGCCTTGCCATAGGCCAATGCAGCTTTATTTATCAACCAATCAGAGCAACACATATTCACAACATACAGAAGGACACCCCACAGCAGACGTGTGTCCAATAAGAACCAGGCAGCTGAAGACAGAGGCAACAGCGGCCCCCAAGCTCCCCTCTTCTTGCTGCCCCCTCTAAGGTGGCAACATCTCCCAGTGGGCCAGATTTGAAGGCAGGGTGGGGGTGGGGGGGTGCAGGGGAATGGAGGGAGGGAGGGAAGGAGACTTTAAACACCTGTGGCCTTTGATGGTCTTGCTAAGCTGTGATGATGCAGTTATAAGCCCTTGTCCAACTTTTTGCTTTCTGCAGTTCACACACATTTAGTCAATTACAGTTTGAAAATATTAAGAGGAAACTCTAGAAATTATTAAAATGTTTTAAATCACTTAACGTTGTAAACCGTGTGACGAAATCTTTTCTCTTTTCTCTGCCCTTATTGTGTGCATTAACTTTCCTGTAACTGTGACAAAATGCCCGAGACAATCAACTTACAAAGAGGAAAAGTGTATCTTGGTTCAAGGTTTCAAAGGTTTATTGTCTACGGCCATTTGCCCCTGCTGCCTTAGGACTTTGATGACGCAACACATCACGTTGAAAGCACATGACAGAGGAGGCCTGCTTCCCTTGTGGTAGAGAAATAGGGGCTCCCCGATGTCCTCTTCAAGGGCCCATCCAGCAACCTAACTTCCTTCTAATAGGCCACTACAGTTTCCACCCCCTGCCACACCGCAGCACAAGCTGGGGACCAAGGATTCAACACAGGGGTCTTTGGGGGCTGGGATTAATACTGTGCACCACCATGAGCTGCAAAAGTTACAGCTGCAGGGAACAGGCACTTGGGATGCAAACAGCATCACGTTGTGCAGCTCCACTCACGGAAGGGGAGGGGCGTCTCTGAACACAATCCCGTGCTAAGGGAAAACATTGTACTTGGAGATTTAGTGGTTCACAGACGCACTGATGAGCCCTGATTCTTCACACATTGAACTTTGAGTCAAGGCTGTCATTTACAGCAACCATCGTCCACACAAGCATAAATACCCCAGGAGGACTACAGCTTTTCTTTGTTTTATTCTTTTTTTTTCAGAGCTGACGACCGAACCCAGGGCTCTACCACTAAGCTAAATCCCCAACCCTGTTTTATTCTTATATCATTCTAAAGTTATACTTTTTATGCATTATGCAAAATTACGTTTACATCAGAATATTTTACTGATGTGATACACCTTCGTAAAATCCCAGTAAACACTGATTTATAAGAAAATATTTTAAGAATTTTCCAGAAATTTATTTATTTATTTTTGGTTTTTCAAGACAGGGTTTCTCTATGTAGTTTTGGTGCCTGTCCTGGATCTCGCTCTGTAGACCAGGCTGGCCTTGAACTCACAGAGATCCGCCTGGCTCTGCCTCCCGAGTGCTGGATTAAAGGCCTGCACCACCATTGCCCGGCCAGAAACTTTTTTTTTTTTTTTTTTTGGTTTTTCGAGACAAGGTTTCTCTGTGTAGCTTTGCGCCTTTCCTGGGACTCACTTGGTAGCCCAGGCTGGCCTCGAACTCACAGAGATCCGCCTGGCTCTGCCTTCCGAGTGCTGGGATTAAAGGCCTGCACCACCACCGCCCGGCCAGAAACTTATTTTTTGACATCTACATTTATACAAACATATATACTATTTATAGACACATGCAATTTTATGGTTTTATTTGTATATAATATTTATTGGCAAAACCCCTTTTTTTAAAACACAGCCTGACTCACTAAGGAGCCCTGGCTGGCTTGGAAGTCATATGTAGATCAGGCTGGCCTCACAGAGATCCTCCTGCTTCTGCCTCCTGAGTGCTGAAACTAAACAATTCCAAGCCCTAGGGGAGCTGAGAACTTTCCAATGGCTGACTAACCACCTGTTTAAACCACAGAAATAAATACACCTTTACTTCCCTAGAAACACTGTAGCTGTTCCTAACCACAGAAGGGACACATGGATCTGACTGGCTGGACTGAAAGTCTTGCATTGCATGTAGGTAGACAGTGATGGAACACACCAGGAAAGTCCCTAATCTTTGATTCCTGGTTGGTGAAAATTGTTAACTGCAATTTGACAACAAATGTTTGTGATTTTTATGCTTATAAACCCCCCACTTCTGCCCCTGCTCAGGGCTGTCAGGAGAAGCAAAGCTCCCGAGTCCTTGTCCTACAGCCCTGATCAATCTGTGACCCGCTTATGTGAATTATTAAAATCTCTGGAACCCTTAAGTGTTGTCTTTCTCCTTCCTTGTGGCGCATAATGGACTGGATGTAACACTATCCACGACAGCTGACAAGAAAGCATCCAGTCTCCCTGCCAACCAGAGGCCAGAGGCAGCCAGACCACTGTCACATCTCACCATGTATTCACTAGCCCATAGATCCCACACGGCACCCCACAGGTCCCATATTAACCAAATCTGTCATTCTTCAGCCTTGTGGTACAATACCTTCTCCTGCTTCTCTATTTCCTCCTAACACCTTGCTTTGTCACACAAAGTGGTGCTTCAAATACTCACCACACTTAGTGACCTTTAATAAACATCTGGCTTGGCTGGGTAGGGGGTGAGGTAGTGGTGGTGGTGCACACTCTTAATCCCAGAAATCCGGAGTCAGAGGCAGGTGGATCTTTGTGAGTTTGAGGTCAGCCTGGTCTACAGAGTGTTTCAGGACTGCTACACAGAGAAACCCTGTCTCCAGAAGCAAAACAAAAACAAAAAAAATTAATAAGCCTCTTGCTTATTATGACAGATTCAGTGTATCTCTCTGTCTCTGTGTCTCTGTCCCTGTATCTGGGTATCTCTATTTTTTTAAACCTCCTCTCCTAATAGGTTAATATCTGGGGGCGGGGGGGGGGGGGGGGGTTACAACAGTGACAAATTCCCATCACACACTTACAGCAGATATTTCTGCTTTTTCATGTCCTGGCCAGCGAGGGTCTTCAACAGGGACCTGGAGGGAGGGCCGGTGAATGAGAGGGACAAGAGACACAAAGAATGAGAGCAAGACAGGACGTCTGATCAAGCTCCAAAATTTTATTTTTCTCTCAAGGCATGTATAGGCGGGGGCAAAGGGGGGTGCAAGCAGGGAGGGAACTTTAATCATGGGTTGTTCAGCCAGCAGGGAATGTTGCTATGAGGATTATCTATTCTTACCTAACTGCCTAATTGCAGTGTGGTCACCTGATTTCTGAGAAGAGGTTCTGGTATTTATAGAAGAGGTTCTGGTGCTATGGAGACTTAAGCAAGGCCTAGATCTAGAAAAAGAGGAGAGAAGCCGAAATATGGTGGCATGTGTGTCAAGGGTCACTTAGGCTTATGGCTCCCATCATTTTCAATAAGTGTGTGTGTGTGTGTGTGTGTGTGTGTGTGTGTGTGTGTGTTTTTCTGAGACAGGGCCTCTCTACATAGCTCTGGCTATCCTGGAACTAACTATATAGACCAGTCTGGCCTCACAGAGATCCACCTGCCTCTGTCTCCTCGGTTGCTAGGATTAAAGATTAAAGAGCCACCACACCCAGCTTTCAATAAATTTCTTTTTTTAAGATGCATTTATTTTTATTATATGCAAGTGGGTGTTTGCCTGCTTGTATGTCTGTGCACCCCATGCATTCAGTGCCTGAAGAGGCCCTAAGAGGGCATCAGATCCCTGCAGCTGAAGTTAAGAAATAGAATTGAAGCCAGGCGGTGGTGGCGCACGCCTTTAATCCCAGCACTCGGGAGGCAGAGCCAGGCGGATCTCTGTGAGTTCGAGGCCAGCCTGGGCTACAGAGTGAGTTCCAGGAAAAGGCGCAAAGTTACACAGAGAAACCCTGTCTCGAAAAACCAAAAAAAAAAAAAAAAAAGAAAAGAAATAGAATTGAACCTGGGTCCTCTTGAAGAACAGGCAATGTCCTTAACCGTTGAGCCATCTCTCTGGTCTTCAGTAAGTCGTTTTGTTTTATTTAGAAGTCAGAGGACAGTGAGAAGCAAGCAAGCATCCACTTAAAGGCTATCACTACTTGTAACTTGAAGTGCTTATGTGTGTGTGTGCATGTTGTTGATGGGGACATTTCAACTGAGTTGAGAGCAAAGGGCACACCTGTCTAGGACTAGGCAGGATTGCTACCCAGGAAAACACAAAACTGAGGGGACCCTAAGGAGACACTTTGGCTTCACTTGATTTTTTTTTTTTAAGTCAGGGTCTTGCTGTGGGATGTTCTTTCTGTATGCTGTGAATATGTGTTGCTACCATTGGTTAATAAAGAAGCTGCTATGGCCTATGGCAAGACAGGTTATAGCCAGGTGGGAAATCCAGGCAAAGAGACAGGGAGAAGGAAGGCAGAGTTAGGGGAGACGCTGAGCACTGCCGGGGGTGTGGGGTGGGAGGGGGTTGGTAGGGTCGGGTGGTGTGGGGTGGTATGCAAGATGCAATGGAACACAGGTAAAGCCATGAGACATGTGGTGATACATAGATGAATAGAAATGGGTTCATTTAATATAAAAGAGCTAATTAGCAATACGCCTGAGCCATAGACCAAACAGTTTATAATTAATATTAAGCCTCTGAGTGATTATTTTATAAAAAAAAGCCCGCTGCCAGGGCGGGACCCGGTGGGACCGAGAAACTTCAGTCTACAGGATTTTATGTAGCCTAGGATGCTTTTGAATTATTGTCTTGTCTCTATCTCCCTAATGCCACTATGCTGAGTTTGTGTGGCGTTGAACCTTGGATCCAGGGCTTCATGAATGCCAAACACGCACCTCCAGTCCTTCACGTGGTCTTACCTTCTCCCCTTCCTCACCAGTGTCAGATGTCAGGCAGGTGTGGCCTGCTCTCATTCCCCTTGCTGTTGTAACAGCTCAAAGGCGTGGTCATTATAGTAAGGACTGTGGAAGTCGATTTTCAGGACCTTGGCGGCTAGGTGGCTGTTTTTCATCTCAGATTGGTCAATCCATCCTTCACTTGGGCCTTCACAGGTGCCCAGTCTGCAATCTTTCAAGGTCAGAGAGTGAAGAAATCCATCCTCAGAGCCCACCAATGCCAGCTTCTGAACACGTGACCTAGGAAAATGCCGTGGAGTTTTTGACTGTGCTCACAAACACCACAGATTATCTCATGTCCTCCCGTGTCTCAAACTACCCTGCTTTTTTTGTATCCTACAAATCCTCGTATTCCTAAAAACTATGAGCCTGGGGAGGCAGAGTTAAGGTTCCTGCCTCCCACCTCCTAAGGGTTGGCACATCCTGAAATGGGTTTTGATTGTGTAAAGCTTGAAGTTTCAGTGATGAGCAGGCTGGGTGGGGGGGGGGGGGAGACATGCAAAATAGGCCTTATTTGGTGATAGACTCAGACCGAAGCAATCTTGGAAAGGTATTGGTCATGTGGATCCATGTCACGGATGATCTGGAAATACACAGCTTCTGTCATCAGATTCTCAGCAAAAGTGCCATGAACACCTCAGTAAAGAATGCTGGGAAAACTGGATGTCCAGCATGCAAGAATGGGACTAGATCCCTAACTCTATCCCCATGCGAAGATACATTCAAAATTTATCAAAGACCAGGGGACAGCACTTTTATAAGTGTAGGCAATTTTCTGAACAGGATTTCAACAACTGGAGATGCAAAAACTGATAATGGGATCTGAGGGAATGAAAAGGTTCTTCACATCAAAGGAAGTAATAGCAGAGTGAGGAGACAGCCTACACAATGGCCATTCTTTGTCAGCTATTCATCCAGTGGAGCACTGAATTAAAAAAAAGAAATAAAAATGAAAGGCCATGACTGTTAAGTTTTTTTGCACCCCGATAAACCTCTCCGCCAACGCAGCAATTCAAATCAGACCAAATCAGACCGAATTAGAAAATCCTGGGTTTAATGGGTAAAGCATTCCAGGGTGGTTCTCTGCCCATCCCCCCGCCCCCCCCCCCCCCCCCCACCAGAGACGAGGATGAGAGAACGGAAAACCATGTTTCTGGGATGCAGCTTATATACCCTATGGGAGTGGTCTTGAGCCTCACTGGGGGAGGAGCTGTGTTTGGCAGGCTTTGAAAGGGCAGGGGCGGGTTTGGGGAAAGAGGTGGGGGAGGGGAATTGAGGTGGATCTTCCACCAGAACATTCCAGACTCTTTGGGTATATGGATGCCAGGTGCCAGGGGTTACGGTGGAGCTCCCACCCAAACAATGACTTTAGATATATGAGCGAGCATAGCCATATGAGGCAGGGACATCTGGGAGAGTCCATAGTGGATGTGACCAGACTGAGCTGAGCCATGTGAGGAGAGGGGGAAGGGTAGAAACAGGGGAGGAGAGGGGGAAGGGAAGGAACAGGGGAGGGCGGGTAACCAAAATGGTTGGATTACAGAGAAGAGCATCTGGGGTAAGGATAGCCCAGTCCTAGGCTGGAAAGTTTGGGTATGGGTAGGGTATGCCAGCCAGGAGGGCCCTGGAACAGGTAGGGACTAAGGGATGCTGGGAGAACCTGGTGGGCAGGTCTGCTTTGGTATGTTAAATAGACATCTCAGCCACTTGTCCCAGGGTTTGAGACTTAACAGGGATTAATAGCCAGAGGATATAAAGAATGAAAAATTAGACATTCCAAGAACAAATAGCCCAACCAATCAACACAGGAGAATATAAACAATGATTTTTTAAAAATTATTTACTTTTATTTTATGTGCATTTTTTTGCCTGCATGTAAGTCTGTGTGAGAGTGTCAGGTCTTGGAGTTACAGACAGTTGTTAGCTGCCATGTGGGTGCTGGGATTTGAACCCGGGTCATTTGGGAAAGCAGTCAGTGCCCTTAACCACTGAGCTATCTTTCCAGACCCATAAACAATAATTTTTAAAAGAACACAAATGGCCAACACATGAGACTCACTTCTACAACTACCAGAGAAATACAAACTACAGTGAGACTCCATCTTACCCCAGTCAGAACAGCTACCATTAAGGAAATAACCACAAACGCTGGTATGAACACAAACACAGCTCTTGCTCCAAAGCAAATAAGAGATCATTTTAAGCTGGGTGGAACACACTATAGTCCCAGCATGCAAGAGCCTAGCCTGGGCTACAGAATGAGACCCTGCCCCCGTCAAAATCAAATCAAAACAAAACACATCGGGGTGGATATCACCTAGGCTGCTTCAGGCAAAATGCAGCAACCCCGGAGATAGGTTTCAGGTGCTGTCTGCCATTACCTTTAGCCTTTGGTTGCTGGAGGCACATCGAGCTTAGCAAGACTTTGTAAGCAGTTTATCTAGAAGGGAAGCAGATGTTAGATCAGACACAGATGAGGATGACAAACAGCTGTTTTAGGGACAAAAGGTAGCCTGAGATAAAATAGGCTGTCTGCAACAGTCCCATAACCATCAAGATCTAATCAGTCTGCAGACTCAACACAGACGCTGTTATGAATTATTACGCAGGGACCCCGAGGGTATCCTGTGCATGCAGGGAAACATGCTGGCATGCTGGGCAGATGCAGCAGCGGGCTGGTGGGCACTGCAATGGGGGCATGGCGGCGGGGCAGTGGGTGGACATTCACAACCCATATCCTGCCTCCGAGTGGAAATGGTTTATTATAATAGAGAGGCGAAGAGAAGATAGGAAAGAAGAAAGAGGGAAACAGAGAGAGGGGTCGAGGCACACCTCGTGGGAGTGGAGGGGGGGGGAGAGAGAGAGAGAGAGAGAGAGAGAGAGAGAGAGAGAGAGAGAGAGAGAGAGAGAGAGAAATGTTCTCTGTGGTTTTGCGCAACGGTAGCTGTATTTATAGTGTTAAACAGCACGGGGTGGAGGTTGCTAATTACCTAATTCACCTATTATAGAAATTATACTTGGTGTGGCAAAAGTTAAGCCATTGGTAAGTAAGGGGATGGGTGTGGGCAGTCTCTGGGTGGTTTGGGGAAGAGCCCTGTAATTCAGAAGGTCAGCAGAGGTTAGGAAACAATGTTTCAGGAAACTGTGGCTTGGCCGCAGTTCGAAAGTTCAACTGTGGATGTGTCAGACCTGATTAACAATGGCCTCTAGACTGGATTCAAGTGCCCCACACCACTGCTACTCCATTTTGATTGGACAAGAAACATACCCACATATTCATACACATACTGTTCTACATACAGAGTTTTTAGTTAGCATTACGCTTTAGTAATGTTGCCAGATTGTTTTAATGTTTACTTTGAAATCATCCCAAATTTACTGGAAGTTAGGGACTCATGTGTAGACTACACTTTCCCCAGTTTCCCTCAATGGTAACACCCTCTAGAGCAGCAGCATACAGTCAGGGCTCGGAAACTGGCCAAGTCACGGCGTGAGTGTGTAATTGTCTGAGAACTTATCATGTGTGTAGACACCACCACAGGCACAGAGTTGTTCCGTCACTACAATGCTCCCTTATGTGAAGCCTGTAGGGTTGGTCATACCTATCCCTCTGCCTCCACCATCCCCAGCTCATGGGAACCACTAATCTACCTCCAACCTTGAAGGATACTGTTTCACTGTGACGTAGGAGACTTTCAAGATGGCCGAAGGGGCTGAGCACTCACAAAAACACAAAAGCAACAGGACTAGAGGGTAGCTTTCAGTTGGTAGAGTGCTTGCCTAGTATATAAAAAGCTAGGGTTCAATCCTCGGCACTGTCTAAATTTGTGATCCCACCACTTAGGAGCTAGTTCAAAGCCAGCATGCACTCCATGAGATCTTCTCACAAAACATCAGTCAAAATAGCAAGTGTATAGCTGCATTTTAAGCTGAGTGGCTGGGGGAGAACACTGGAAATCTGGGAGATACTGGGGGCTTGCAAGATCCAGAGACCTGGGACTGCGGTGTAGTAAGAGAAAGAACATGCCAGGCAGTGGTAGTGCATGCCTTTAATCCAGCAGAGGCAGGGGCAGGCGGCTAGCTGAGTCCAAAGCCAGCCTGGTCTACAGAACAAGTTCCAGGACAGCCAGGGCTACACCGAGAAACCCTGTCTCAAAAAACAACAACAGAGAGAGAGAGAGAGAGAGAGAGAGAGAGAGAGAGAGAGAGAGAGAGAGAGAAGGAGGGAGGGAGGGAGGGGAGAGGAAGGGAGGGAGAGAACAGCAAGGCATCTAGCATTTCCTGTCCACAGCCAGTGGTGTGGGTTCCTCCCTCTAAAGGTGAGTGAGTCCCAACAAACTCCAGCAGAGTGGCGAGGCCAAACGCTGCTCCTGGCAAGTTTCATCATCCTCACAGGCTCCTGACCTAAAGAGCAAAGTAACCTGAGATCTGTGCAGTAACTCTGCTTTGGAAAGGCATAGTCTCTCTGCCACTCCCATGGTATAGAGCTGAGCCATCCTGAAAAAGGAACTATCGTCTGAGTTTGGATTGCTTACACATCTCCTGCACAGACTCAGTGGGTAGCTGCCTTGAAAACCCAACTGGTCTAGCAAAGTCACTCTGACTTAAACTCACGGGGTGCCCTGCACTGTAGGGGACAGTGGAGTGGGCCACCCTGGAGAACTGGGAGACCAGGGAGCTTGCCCTCTGAGGCCAGGGTGGAGACAGGCTGAATATGACTCACACTATGCCAGGACTGATGGCTGCTGACACCCATACACTTCCCGCCCACCACCCTCCAGGCGTGCACACAAGGACCTGCTACTGACGGGGTGACAGAAGAGCATCTGGTCCCTCTGCTGTCACCCTGCCCCCAGGGTGCACAGCCAAAGGAGGTCTAGAGAGCTGTGAGATGCTGAGATCTTACTTCTCCCATCAAAGCAGCATATAGGTGATGGAGGAACGTCTTCTTGCATGCTGTGAAAATATATTGCTCTAATTGGTTGATAAATAAAATGCTGATTGGCCAGTAGCCAGGTAGGAAGTATAGGCAGGATAAACAAACAAGGAGACGTGTTGGAAGGCTGGAAGGCTGAGTCAGGAGATGCCAGCCATCCAGGGAGCAGCATGTCATGGCACACAGGTAAAGTCACGGAAAACATGGCAACGTGTAGATTAACAGAAATAGGCTGAGTTTAAGTGTAAGAGCTAGTCAGTCATGGGCCTGAGCTAATGGCCAAGCAGTTTTCATTAGTATAAGCTTCTGAGTGGTTATTTTATAAGTGGCTTCGGGGTCTGTGGGGCTGGGCAGGGCAGGAAAGAAACTTCAGCTACATATAGGGACACTGCAATTCCTGCTGCCACTGAACCATCTTAGTGTGCCCTGCTGGCTACCGCTGTACCTTATTTGAGCATACACAGCTTTCAAGTCTAGGTATAAGCGTCACCCACAAGGGGGCGCTGTGGCTCCTTACGCCGCTTCTTATTCCCATGAGGTATCCAGACCTATACCTGACTGGTTGGAGAACAAATGCTTTCCGCCTGGCACCTCACCAGTGTTAGTACCAGAAGCTGTTACTGGTAACACAGTGCATAACAACAGCACCTCGGGAAGCCCTTATCGCTGAGTAGGGGCCGTTTCTACTGTGGGAACAGTCACTCAGGATTCTCCCCACACACTCTCCTGTTTGTACCATAGCTGCTTGAACAGCCAGCTTGACCATCCTGACTGTTGTTGTATGGGCTTTTCCAAATCCAACGTGGTACACAATGTCACCAATCACAAAGCTACAGGGAGATGACACTATAACACCCAGGTGGAAGTAAAGGTGATACCCCAAGGCACATCTCCAGAAGAAAGCGACCCACAAAATGGTAGACATCTCAGCAGGCCAGATACACAAATCTCAAAGTGGAAGCACAATAAATGTATATACACACACACACACACACACACACAAAACAGACTGTGCAACGGCCCAATAGTCTAAAGAATTGCTGGGTGATGGTAGTGGACATCTTTAATCCCAGGAGGCAGAGGCAGGTGGGTCTCTGAATTGAAGGCCAGCCTGGTCTACACAGAGTTTCAGATCAGTCAGAAAGACACTGAGAACCTGTCTCAAAAACACAAAACAAAAGCAAAAACAAAAAGCTTGAACTTTCTACTGTTCTGCATATTTGTGGGAACGGTTTTTCTGAGAAAAGATGTTGGAAGGTGGCCTTTACAAATCAGACTTTTCACCCAACCTGTAACCAAGTTGGCAGTGTGCTTTGAGATCATTTATAACTGTACACTCATTCTGCTCACATACCGAATACTGCCTGCTCAGAATATAGAGGTCAGATGATACCTGACCTCTAAGAACACGGTAATCAATCTTCCTATGCCTTGGATGACCCAGTGTATTATGTTCCTTCTTTGCTTTTGAGACTCTTTTATGCTCCTGACTCAGAACGCGTGTGTGTGTGTGTGTGTGTGTGTGTGTGTGTGTTGTGTGTTTTACAGGAAATTTTTCAGGAGTTTGTTTTCTCCTTCCATGTAAATCTAACACCCTCTTCTGATGGGCAGCAGGCACCTACATAATACGCAGACATGCATGTGGACAACATAAAATTAATTGATTACAACTAATTAAATTAATAAAAATAACCCAATACCCAGGATACCAACCAGTGACGTTTGCAGAGATGTGACCAAAACAACCGAGAGAAACAACGTGAGGAAGCATTGGTTTGGTCCGTGGCTTCACACCTGCTAGTCCATCAGGGCAGGGAAGCCGTGGTGGGACAGAACAGTTTGCATCATGGCGCACAGGAGGCAGAAGACAGGAGAGGAAAGAGTCGAGGGTAAATATACTTAACACTAATGACCCACTTCTTCCAGGGCTCCACCTCCTACAGAACTTTCCAAAATACCGCCATCAGCTGGGGACCAAGCTTTCAATACACCACCATTTTTGGGGGGCGGGGTGCAGGGGATACCTTATAATCAAATCGTAATATCCAGTCTGTGGCATTCAATGGAAAATGCACTAAGAAGCCATCTTTCCCTGGAGAAATAAATGTATTTCAACAGAGTTGGGTGTCTTCCATATTGGCAAAGGTGACCCAATAGGATCAAAACAAATCCCAGATGAAGGGCAGGAGAGATGGCTTAGAGGTCAAGAGCACCAGCTGCTCTTCCGGAGGACCCCAGTTCAATTCCCAGCACTCGCACTGAAGCACACAACTAACTCTAACTCTAGTTCTAGGGGATTTGACGCCCTCTTCTGGTCTCCATGGGCACTGCATTAGGTGGTACCCAGACATGCATGCAGGAAAACACCCCCATACACATAATAAATAAAATAAGAAAAGCAACAATAGAATACCAGCTGAAGTCAGAAACAAGGAGTTAGGGTTTGTGGCTCGGTCGGCAGTCACTGCAATGTGCTGCAGTGACCTGTGAGCAAAGGTCATTAG